CCAGGGGTGGAGAAGGCGGCAGTGGAGGCCGGTGCGGAGGTGGTGGCGGGGGGTGTGCTTCCCGTGGGGGTGGGGGGGGGGGCCGGCGGGGGGGGGGAGGGGGAGCCGATGAGCCGCGTGGTGCCACACACTGGGGCACCCAGCAGCTGCTTCGAGAACCAGCGCCTGCCCTGTTCCACTGACACTCGTTGGCAGCCACGGCTCTCTGCCTCCCTGCGCCCCAGGACAGACACCCACCACCCTTCCAGCTCCTCTGAGGCCTCCCTACTGCACACGGACAGCAGCAAGAGGCATCCCTGGAAGCCACCAGGACCCAGCACAGCTGGAGCAAGGCACAGTGCGAAGGGGCTGCCTGCACGCCTCCCACAGCCTCCTCCAGCCACGCACACAAAACCACCTACTGCAGAGCTGCGTCCCCACAAGCGATGAGAGAACACCAGGACCCCCAGTGCCCACGGGCAGGCAGGGCTCTCACACCATCGCAGCAATGCCTGCCGGAGCCAGCAGGACTGAAACACCCTGCTCCGCCACAGAAGGCCAGAAAAATTTGGCTGCGCCAGCTTGGGACACCGGCCCAGACACTTCCTGACTCATTTGCTCAAATAATATTTTTATTATACGCACATTGCTCATGACACAACAGCACCATTTTTTAGCAACCTGCTTTGTCCCGGTCCGCTGTGGGGACAGGGTGCGGTACCTGCCAGCGGGAGCAGGAGGAGGATGGGAACACGCTCCCAATGGACCCCTCATCCCACCTCTGGCTCTGGGGTGAGACACACTGATGGGGCCCCAGGGCATGCAACTGCCACCCTAACAGCACCTACAGCTCCCAGCTGCCAGCCCAGCGCTTGCACAGCACCAGGGGTGAAGGTGCAGACACCATGGTGCCGCTGCACACCAGCCTGGCCATTGCCAGGACCAGAAGCAGCTGCGCACCTCTTGTGCTGGCCTGGAGAGCGGCTCCTGCCCTCCTTCCCTGTCCGGAGCTGCTCCTCCCCGCAGGGCGCCTGCCGGCCTCGCACAACTGGGAAGGGACGCAAAGGGGACAGAGAAGGGGTCCAGCACGAGGCCGGTCACAGCACTCGCACCACGTGTGCCAGCCGATGGCTGGTAGCCGTCCTTCCTCTGAGCCAACCAGCGCTACGAGGGGGAGCCCAGCTGCAGGGCAGGCGGCGCCGCGCTGGGATTCACCACCCCCTCCTCTGAGCGGTCTCTGCCCTGCAGGGTGCTCAAGGGCACCCCGAAGCCCAGCGCCACGGGGTCTGCGGGACAGGCTGCACTCGTGGATCTCGTGAAAGCGTCTCAGGATTTCAGTGCCAGGGAGGCAGGCGTCCCCTCGGTGCCCAGGGTCCAGGCACAGCAGGAGCACACGCTTACAGGGGCACAGCACCGAGACTGGAGCCCAACTCTGTTGCTCGTTACCCGCCCATCATCAGACAAGGGATTCTGCTAAGCCTGGTCTTACCCATCTGCCTAAAGGAGCTGTTCTCAGTTTGCTTCCAAGGGGAACCAATCTCGCAGACCGTTTTAAGAGCCTGAGATAGAAGATGCTACTGAGCACGGCCAAAAACCAGAACAAATCCAGACCCTCTTTCTCCCCGGCTGCTCCAAGCCATAGGAATTCGCATTTTCTCCGAGCCATGCGGAAGTCGTGCCCACACGCTCCGGGGGTCCCCTCCATCCCCCTCTGCGAGCGCCCGGTAGCCGAGCGCGCCGCTCTGCCCGCCAGAGCCGCACAAGCCCTCATTTGTGCAGGCGCCCAGCCGAGGGGGCGGCAGCGCAGGAGCAAAGACAAGGTGTCTCCAAGTGGAGGATGTGAACATGAACCTCCCAGCCGGCTTCCTTCTCCCCCTCTCCACCCCCTTCAGCTTTTTTAAAGAAAATAAACACTAGCAGAACCTTCCATTCACTGTCCCAGTCCAGCACGCGGGACGCACAAAGGGACATTGCTGTTGCACCAACAGAGGGTCCCCTGAACGGCCGAGCACAAAGGCTGCCTGTGTCCCGCCGGCAGCCAGAATGTCAGAGGGATTATTATTATTTTGGGAGGGGGTCGGGGGGTGATTTGGTCCTGAATAAGGTCTCAGTTCAGCTACTTCCAGTGCCCCGCACGCAGCATCAGAGCTCCCATTTAGCAGAGGTGAGCTGGAATTCCCACCCAGCCCATTAAGCGGATTTACGGTTCCACGAAGCGAGGCTGGTAGGAGTCAGTGCGATAACAGCCCCGGGCTGAGCCGGAGCCCAAGCCCTCTGGGACCTCCAGGAACCACGCGCCCCTGACACCTACGGGCACAAGCACCAGAGAGCTGCTGTGCGGGAGGGGGCAGCCCCGCTGCCTCTCCCCTGCCTTGGGTGGCTCCGTCTTGCACACGCAGCCGGGAGGATTTCCAGACAGACAGCCGGGCGGTGCTTCCCACCCTCTCAGCTCCCCAAACCCTCTTCGCACAGTTCCACTGGATGCAAAAGCCAGTTTCCACCCAAACGGCTCCTCACGATCAAAGCTGTGTCCACCATTGCCCCTCGAGAGCAGCCCCCCGCAGAGCAGCGGGACTGCCACTTATGCAAACAGAAGACAAGCAGATCCTCTGGACTGCCCTGAAAACCACGCGCTTTGGCCAGCAACTTACTCGCCCCCCCCCATCAATCCGCAGAAGAATCAAATCCCAGAGCCAGAACCCTGCCCTGGAAGCACCCTGGTACTAGGCAGAAAAAGCAGGGCAGAAAATAACGTCAGCGGGGCCGTGCTCAGCCCCAGCGGGAGCACTGAGCCGTGCCGGCTTCCCCCGGGTCTCAGGGCCCCTGAGCCAGCCCAGAACTCAGGGCTGCCAGGCAGGCAGCACCGCTCGCGGCACCCACCTCCCTGGCGCTCGGCAAGTTAAGACTAGCTTAGCCTTTGTGCATGCCTGCAGCCGAAGGAATGACTCCGTGCTGTGGCTACAGTCCCTCTGGGAAGAAGCAGGGGAAAATTAGACCTTCCACAGCCATCCCTAAACCAAGGAGGAACCCAGAGTTTAGGGGAAGGAATAATCTTTACTGTCCCAGGTAAAAAGTAAGAGTCTCCCCAAGTAGTGGGAAGCTTTGCCCCTGCTCCTGCCCCAGTCTCAGCCACCGCAGCTTAGAGACAACTGTGTCCCGCCCCATTTATCTGCCAGGGATAACCAGGAGGACCTCAGACTTCTGCTTCTTTCCCAAGCCATCGCAGCCCTGGGAAGGAAGACAAGATGGGAAGAGAGAGTCAAAGAGCCCGCTACCTCTGACTGGGGGCAGCTGGCTGCCTGCAAAATAGACCTGCCAGGGCACGGCCGGACCGGAGCCCGCGGGCCCTGCCTACTCGCCAGCTTGGGCGCAGAGAGCGGCCTCCCATCCAAAGAGAGCCTGAGGTGGCCAGGGCATGGGGACAGCGCCGGTGGTCACAGTCCCATCAGCTCTGCAGGAGGCTTGGGACGTGACACCCGAAAGGTGACACAGGGTAAGCACAGTCCGACCCCCGCTGTGACTTACTGGCTTGGACAACCAGTTTTATGGGACTGTTGCCCAGCTGCTACAGAGCCAGCTCACCGAACAGTCGCCCCAGCCAGCCTGCGCATTTGCCTTCACAACTCCTCACTAAGAGCCTCTGCTGCCGGGCCATGCGGCAGAGCTCCTTTGACAGCATATCCATGACGGGGGAGAAGCTGCAGCGTTCCAGAGGTTTGGGGGTTTACTGCTGGCTTCCTGGAGGGTCCCGCAAGGCCACGGCTCCAGCAGCTCTACCTGGGGTGCAGCAGCAGGGAAAGGAAAGGCTCTGCAGGATCTGTAAAACCCTGGCATGTGGTGCCACTCAAGCAACACGAGCCTGTTGATGTAACGTGCAACCCGAGCAGCAAGCAATAAAAGCGAGCGCTTTCATTTGCAAGCTGCAGCCTGGCTCACTCCAGCGCCTGCACAGACATCCATTGCTCAGCATGCAGGGGGACCAGCAAAAACCAGCGAGGCCCAGTATCGGCTTCCAGTGGCAGCCCGTGGCACAAGGCCGGCCGGGACGTTCCTCGGGCCTCGTGGGAGGAACGGCCAAGGAGCTCCCGGAGCCTGGGAACAAAGACGTGCCTCTGCGGCAGGCAGCAGCTCGGGGGCCAGGGCAGGGGGCTGTGCCATTGCAAATTAGCTGTTTTACGGGAGCCCTGGGAGCAGCTCCGTGGAAGGCTCCAGCTCATTTTTTGTGATTGAGCCCATTCTTACCCACCTCTCCGTCTCCCTGGCCAATCCCCTCCGGAAGCGGGAGGGCGATGCCTGCCAGAGGAGAGGCCCCCGGAGGCGCCTGCCAAGGCGCTGGGAAGCGCAGCGAGCCCGAAAGCAAGGCCGGACCCGTGCGGAGCAGGAGCTCCTGTCCGACAGCTTGGGCTGTCAGCTCCAGCAGGCTCTCCCCATCTTCCCAGGAGCTCGGGCCTGACGGGGCTTGTCACTGAGCTCTTTTTCCAGGCTCCAGGCCTCAGAGCCGAGACTCTTCCACCTGAAGCAAGGCGTGCTTGGCAGGAGGGCCAACAGAAGGAACAGGGGGAGCTCCAGTGTCTCCCTGGCAGGCGGGAGCCCTGCACGCACTGCCACGACGTCACCGGCAGCGAGAACACCACCCCTGCCCAAAAGCAGAGCAACCAGGACAACTCTTCTGCACCAAGCACAACTACAGGAACACAAACCGAAGGCCACAGCTACACTCACATATCAGTAACTTACAGAAAACCTCACCACAACCATAACAAACCCAGCTAAGCCAGAAAGCGGGTCTGCTGCCCGGCAGAAGCGGCCCTTGGGGAAGGCACACTCCTGCTGAGTGCTTCCCAGGAGGGGGAGAGGGCAGCCGGGCCCCCGCCAGCAGCAGAGGGCACACGTGTTTTGGTGCCTTCCCCAGGCAGAGGGTCGTGGGCTGCATTAGGACTTGTCCGGCTCAGGATGGCTTGAAATCCCAAACGCCCTTTGCATGCCCGTGTGTGACCTGGCCCCTTCCCCAGGCTGGCAGGCAGAGGGAACAGGCTCCCCTCCTCTCGGAAGGTAAGGAGCCTCCTCGAGGAAGGGGTCTCCCAAGTGCCCAGGGACACAGGCTCCCCTCTGGAGGACCAGCAGCAGTCTGTGGCCCACTCAGAGCTGCAGCAAAGCCCAAAGGCCAAGCAGCGAGTCCGCAGAGAAGAGGAGGGAGCAGACGCCAGGCTAGATGAGACGGGCAGATGAGAGCACATAGCTCATCTGGGCAGTGCCGGCTGCCCCCAGCCCACAGCAGCACCTTCCCGGCAAGGCAGGCTCTGCAGCTTTAAGAGTCCTCCCTCCCAGCCCACGGTGTCAAGGAAAAATCTGACACGTTTTTTCTGGTGGATGTTAACGGACAAGCTAGAACAGCCAGTTGCCTTTTCCATTCATTTTCCACACAGCCCCCTGGGACGCCTGCTAATGAAAGAGCCGATTGTGCCCCTGCAGAGGAGCAGGCAGGTAGGGCGGGAGCAGCAGCGGCTCCAGGAGCCCAGCATAGCAGGGTATTCGCACCGTTTGGGAAGAAAAAGCTGCAGAGGAGGGTGCCCTGGGGCAGAGACCCCCACTGCAGGCTGCCTGACAACAGCCACCCAAGCAACAGGCAGCCCAGCCCTGCAGCTACCCAGGGCGGACGTTCGGGTCCTCACGGGCTTTGCGAGATGACAGCAGCAGCAGAGCTCCCTGCGTGGCCCTCGCTGCCCCAGCAGGACGAGGTGCCACCCAGGGGCGCGGCAGCCTGCCCACTGCAGGGAGCACAGCGGGGACACCGTTGCGGTTTTGTAGCCTGCAGCTGGCAGTGCCAGGGGAAGCAGCTCACCCCAGCCCCTGGCACAGGGGAGAGTCTGAACCAGCCCCATATCCCCCTGGGCCACCGGAGGCCCCTCTCCCCACTCAATACCAGGTCTGTCTCTTGCAAGCGGCGGAGCTTTGCTTGGAAAAGACAGAGCGAGCCTTTTCCAGCCCCGCACAGCCACTTGCGCGGCCCAAGCTCTGAATGGCCGCCTTTATGCGGTAGCTGCTGTCACGAGCCACACTCTGGCGACCACAAATGGCAGCAAATAGCTGAGGGGTTTGTGTTTCCGTGCAGGCTGCGGCACCCTGGCTAACGGAGGTATGGCTTCCGTCACGCCCCGGCCCTGACAGGCGGCCCAGGGTGCACAATGGTGCCTTGTTCCCTCCTGGGGCGAGGGGCTGCATGGGAGCCGCTGCAGCCACTGCCTCTCCTCCCCGCTGCGTGCCCACGGGGCAGGCGAGGCGGCAGGACCCTGCGGAGCGCGGGGCCCCTGCCAGGGCAGAGGCTGAGGGACCCCGGCGCGGTCCAGCTTGTACGTACATTTCCCGCCGCTCTTCAGCAGGTTGCCGAGGCTGACGGAGGCGGTGCCCAGCAGCTCGTTCCTCAGGGTATGGCAGCTCCACACCTTCAGGTCCAAGTGGCTCTGAGCCGTGACGTTCCTGCAGAGACCGAAGAAGGGGGCCATCACCGTGGCCTCGCCCCTGCTCCATGCTCGGGGAGCGGGCAGTGCCAGGCCTGCCAAAGCTAGAGAGCAGAGGGAGGCGGGCAAGGCCATGGGGCAACGGCAGACCGTCCCCTCCCGCCACCCTCCCAGCCTGGCTGTCCCTGGCAGCGTCCTCATCTGGGGGACAAAGATCTCCAACATCTGAGCGGCCCCAGCCAAGGGCACAGTGGGGTACAGCGGGAAGCACAGGGCCAGCCCCGGCACCAGCCCCACACCGGGGAGTCATGGAGACTTACAGGATGAGGATCTCGTTCCACAGCAGCTCAGAGCTCCCCATCTGCTTCCCCGTCTTCTTGGTCTCGCTGGGCAGCCCGTCGCCCGCCACCTCCACATAGCAGTTCATCCGCGACGGGCGGCTGTGCGCCTTGGGCTTCACGGACACCACTGGGCAGGGGGGACAGGCAGAGAGATGCGAGCCCGGGGTGCCACAACTCACCGCAGAGCCAAACTCCTTTTGGGAGAGGGGGAGCGAGAAGCAATTCTCCTGATGGCACCAATGGCCGTATCCAGGTGCTCTCATCACCAGCCCCCAGTCACTGCCTGTCCCCGGCATCACCCACACCTTGGCCCTGCACCCAAAGGCTGCGGGGGTGTCACGGTCCCCACAGACACCGCCCTACCCCAGGGCTCGTGGGCAAGGGGGCTCTGCCGGAGCCGCTGGCGACAGGCACCCACCAGGCGAGGCTCAGCTGCCCCACAGGCCAGCAGTGCCCTGCACAGGGGCTGCGGGGCAGAGCCGGGGACGCAGCTCCAGGGGACGCAGCTCCAGGGGACGCAGCTCCAGGGGACGCAGCTCCAGGCGTCGGGAGCCATCTCGCGGCCATGGGAGCACCAACGCGGCTCTGGCAGGGCCACGGAGCCACGTCCCGATGGCAGCCGGGGTGAGGAGGCAGCAGAGCCCAGCCCGGCCGTTCCACTTCCCTGGGCACCCATGGGACGCAGGGCAGTGCTGGCCTTCCCCAGCCCCTGCTCCCCCCAAGAAGGTCTCCCAGCCCGGGGCGCAGGCAGAGCACACAACCGGACCAGACGCACCCAAAATTCACACTCCCCACCCCGGGACTCCCAGGCCCACCTCCGGCGAGGCAGCGGGACCCACCTTTCACGGAGAGCTGGGACTTCTCGCAGGGCGGCCCAGCCCTGGCCCTGCTGGAGCTCGCAGCAGCCATGGCATCACCCCTGGCTGGAAGGAGAGAGAGAGGAGACACCTCAGCACCGCTCCCACCGTGCAGAGGAAGCCGGGGCTGCACTGGGGTCCCAGGTCAGCCCCTCTGGGCCCGAGCGCAGCCTGGCCATTACTGCAAGTGACCCTCATGGCAGGAAGACTTGGCAACGGACAGGCACATGCCTGGTAAACACAGGTTCCCTCTGCTCCTGGTATACCAGCCCTGCACCGCAGGCAACGGCAACGCTGTGCCCTAGGGAGAGAAACTCCCCTTCAATGGCACTGCCATGGCCTGAAGAGATCCAAGCCAAGCCAGACAGCGCTCAGCCCTCTGGACACCCCATTTGGGCGGCTGCAGCTCACCCTGACCCAAAGATCAGTGCCGATGACAGCCGGCACGAGCAGAGAGCAGTCTCCAAAGCCTTCAGCAGACACGCTGTCCCATGCCCTGCTCTGTGCTGCTGAGCAGGAACACCGGCTCCCGAGCAGCCCGCGCAGCCACCGCACAAGGGATCCCTCAGAAAGGACGAGGCAGTGACACCGGCAGAGCAGAGGAAGGTCCAGTCACAGTATGGGGAAGGAGCCACATCCCTCAAGGACAGCGCAGGTCTCTTCCTGGCAGCAAAATCCCACAGCAAAACCGGTCCCATCTCCTCTAACACACTGTGGAGGGGACAGGGACTGAGCTGCTCCAAACACAGAGAAGGATCACGCTGCCGAGCAGGCTACAAGCCCAGGCCTCCACTTCCCCAAGCGCTCACCACTTCCTTGCTCTCTGGTGCCACGTCAGTGTCACCGCAGGCACAAGGCTTCCCCCTGCCCCTTCTGCTGCAGCTTTCCCCTGGAGTCGCCCACCGGGGACAGGGAGCGGGCAGCAGGGACGCAGGCTGTAACAGCCGGGGATGCTGGCAGAACACGTGGCTGCACGCCTCTGCCGAAAGGACTGACCATGAAGCAGAAGGATGAGGTCACGTATCACGCAGAAGCATGAGGTGCTTGGTGTGGGACCAGAGAGTCAGCTATTGACTCACACATCCTCCTGAGCCTGCAGGCAGCAGTCCTCCTCTCCACGCTTCCCGGGCGGAGGAGCTGGGGAGGATGCACCGAGCATGGGCGCCTGCAGTGGGTGTCAAGGTCACGGACCAGAGGGTCCCTGCCTGCTGCCCACCCCCAGGCAGGAGCAAAGAGGAGCCTCAAGCCTGTCTCCCATGGCAGCAGCGAGGGCTCAGACGGGGTCAAACGCAATCCCCCTCCCAAGCCACCAAAGCCAAGAGCACAGCCCGGGACCAGAGTGCTTGCCAACCTCTGCCTCCCCCTCACCAGGGGGAGGGAAGCGTGAAAAGGGCTGAAGAGCATCTCCAGCCTCTGCCACCTCCCCTCTCATACAGGAGTCTCTCTCTCTCTTCCCTGCCCTCTCCTCACACCCTCATTACACCTCACCAAGCTCCATCTCAGAGCCAGGTTCCATTTTAAATCCCCTCTCATGAACCAGGGTCTCTGCTCTCCACCCCCTTCTCCGTGCCAGCCCCATGCGACTTCACCCCCCAGCACGGCAAACCCTCCCGGGACCTCGTGCTCAGCTGCGACACCTCTGCCTGGAAATCCTGGTTTGGTACCAGGCTTGCTGCTGTCTCGGCTCTACCAGATGGCAGCTGGAGGCTGGCTAACACGTGCTGATCTCCCCCTCGTGAGTGGGGGAGAGCTGACTTACGGAGGGAGATCTTTCACGAGGCTAACTGCACTTGCTATTACTACAGTTACTCCTACTGCAATTATCCTGGCCCACAGATTGCCCCGGCCTTCCCTTAGGATATTACTCCTCATGTTTGGTATGACTCCCCAGCTCCACATCACCACTTATTTCATTAGCGCCATTAAGCAGGCCCACAGAAAGCAGCCGGGCACGGTGCCCCTCCTAAGCAGCACCTCCTGCGCCAGCCTGTGACCAGCCCCTGGGCGAGACCGAGCAGGCAGCTCATCCTTCAGGGCCTGACGCCAACGTAGTGACCGGCGCCTCGAAGTTATTGTGGTAGGACCCAAGGCTCGCTCCCCTGCGGCGGGGACGCCGGATCCCCGGTCCTCCCTTGCAGCCACGGGTGCTGCCTTTGCTCTTCCCCAGCCGTCCCCCGTGGCGATGCCAGCCTCACCAGCCCTGCCGCCCTCTGCCAGAGAAAGCGATTTGGGGTTCGTTAAGGAGCGAGCGTTACCTGTTACAGAGGCGTTGCCGCTTCCCAGCCCTCGCTCCGCACACACGTCCCCTCGCAGCCCTGCCGCTCCCCCCGTTCCTGCCGTACCCCAGCGCCGGGGGCGCAGACCAGCGTTGCCGTGACACACCGGCCCTGCGCTCGCAGGCTCGCCTGAGCGTCCCGTGACAGAAGAGGCCCTGGGGCCAGACCGGCCGCCGGTTCCCTCACCGCACCCTCCCGCGTAAGATGACGGCAGAGACCCTTCCCGTTTGGGCTGTGTTTACCCTTTTTTCTTTTAAATCCTGACTCTCTTCCCCACTTTCTCTCCTCCTGACCCTACAGCATTTCACTATCGCGTGCTGTAACTTCCCTGGCCGTGTTAAACGCTTCCCAGCTATCAGAACCCGCCGTGGCTGGCGCCACTCCGCAGGCACAGCTCTCCTCTCCGGTCGGCCCCTTCCCACGCCCGCACGCTCCGTTTGGTGCTTAAACCCTTTCCCGGGTCGGCTCCCAACTGGGGCGGGCCCGGGGCGCTCCCCCGCCGCTTCCCCTCCGTCCAAGACCGAGGCCTCCCCTCCCCAGCTTCCCCGGGCTTCCCGCTGCCCACGGCCCGGGCTCGCCTCCCGGGGAAGCGGGCGGCCCTGCTGCCGCCCC